CCAACCTAATAGTGATGGCCTCCAACCTAATAGTGATGGCCTCCAAACTATAGCGATGGCCTCCAACCTGATATGAAGACGCTGTCTGCGCAGAGAAGTCCATTGTCGCTGAAAGAGAGCTTTTCTTCCTTCGTGGCCTCTTTGACGGGTTTCCCCAGACCCCACTCGCCCATGCCATATTTCTGACTGCCCTCGGCGTTGCGCAGAACCAAACGAGCAAGCGTGGCTCTCTGCAAGCGGAGGGAGTCGCCGCAGCAACCTTCCAACCTGATTTCTTGGTGCTTCTTTTCTTGAATTGCGCAGTGCGGCAAGAACCGCAACTGCTCGCAAGCAGTGGGAATGTGAAATCTGTGGTGATGCTTGGGCCGCACCAGGTCGTCGCCCCAAGCTCTCCGGACCAGCTCATGGCGTCTCAACTTCTGAACCTGTCTGGAATCAAGCGGTGCAATCACGTAAGACAGCCGTCGGAGCTCTGAGCAGATCTGCAAGCGCGTCCCATGTTCCGACGAGCCAGTCTTTGAGTTGACTCGCGGTCAACGCAAAGGAAGCGTGCGCCGCGCGGGCGCCCCCGTGCCTGGTCGACAGCAGAGCGCGCGCGTCGGCCATCTTTGTTGCCACGAAAGTCTCTGCGTCTCCGCGTCGGCCATGTCCAGGGGCGACTAATATGTGCGCGGAAACAGCGTCGAGCCAGAAAGCCTGCGCGCGTACAAATATCCTATTTTCAAGAAATATCCACTAGAGGCCGCGGACGTTCCGCGGACGTTGGCCCCTATCTACTTTAATAAGCAGCCCCAGTCCCGCGGACATCCGCGGACGTTCCGCGGACATCGCCCAAAACCACAAAACGTACATGCCCTGAACGCGATATGGCGCTGCCGGAATCTCCTTTTTCTTGACCGCGACTGTGTGCGTTCTGTGTCCGTCAGAACGTGAAGACAACGCTATTGTCTCCTGTTCTGCGCGCGTGAGTGTGACCTTTGTCGCTATACTTGCCTTGTGGCTGCTTGCCTTCTCTCTCGCCTTGTGTTGGCGACACGCGCTGCGTATACAGCTGCGCACTTCCCGGTTGTGGGTGCAAAGGCCAGTCCGCAGTTCCCAGCAGCGTGCCCTCCCTGGGAACGCGAAGTTCCCTGTCGTTTGCGCGCAGACCGTGCCCGGTGAACACGCGGTTGCGCGCGGGAGGACAGTCCTGGGAACCCGCAGTTCCCTGGATGCATGCGGTGTGCACTCCACGCGCAGAGGGGCCCGGACTTCCCTGCGGCGCGCCCGCGGTGGGAACACGTATATGTCTTCGCGCTTTACAGGCGCCTTTTAAAGGCGCGTCCTGCAGTCGCGTCCACGGGCGCGCCCTCAGGCGCGTCCCCAGGCGCGTACTGCAGGCGCGTCCGCGAACGCGTCCTCAGGCGCGTCCCCAGGCGCGTCGCGCCGAGCCCGCGGTCGCAGACGCCGACTTCCTGCAAGCAGCCAGCAACTTCTCTCTTTCTTCCTGGGCGCAGAAGTATAAAGCTTCTATCAGGCTTGCCTCCTCCTCCGGAGCTACTCCCGCGCGAGACAACTGGTCTGCTAGCGAGCTCAAATGCATCCGCCTCATTTCCTGTTGGCTGGGCTCCAAACTCTTCAGAGCCTGCTCCATTGCTTTCACACAAGGCTCCCAACTGCAACCACTCATGCCAAAAGTCTTGCTCGACTGCGGTTTGAACGCGGGTTTTGAGCCGGATTGACGCTGCTGCGTGCGTGTACATGCTACTCTGAGTAGATAAACTATAAGTTCAAAATTCAATGTTTTTGTAAGTGACGTGTGTGCGCCGTGTAAGCAACGCAACTTACTTCCGCGGCACTTACCAAGTTGAACTTACGAAGTTCCGTAACTGCAGGTAGTACTTGCGGAACTCGTGGACGTTATAAGTGAACATATGACTTCCGTACGTGAACTTATACTTAGCTTAAAAACAACTTATAACAGCCACAACTTATAAAGGCCCTCAGAGTAGCGATGGCCTCCAAACTTTGGCGATGGCCTCCAACCTAATTGCGGTGGCCTCCAACCAAATAGTGATGGCCTCCAAACTATAGCGATGGCCTCCAACCTAATTGCAATGGCCTCCAACCTAGTAGCGATGGGCTCCAACCTAATAGCGATGGCCTCCAACCTAGTAGCGAGGGCCTCCAACCTATTACCGATGGCCTCCAACCTGATAGCGACGGCCTCCAACCTAATAGCCCAGTAGCGATGGCCTCCAACCTAATAGCGATGGCTCCAACCTCTAATAGCGATGGCCTCCAACCTGATAGCTGATGGCCTCCAACCTAATAGCGATGGCCTCCAACCTGATAGCGATGGCCTCTAACCTTGCGATGGCCTCCAACCTGATAGCAATGGCCTCCAACCTGATAGCGATCGCATCCAACGTAATAGCGATGGCCTCCAGCCTGATAGCGATGGCCTCCAACCTAATCAGCGATGTCCTCCAACCTGATATTGATGGCCTCCAACCTAATAATGAGCTGCGTCGAAAACCTATTGGAAATGGCTTTGTAGTCCTAGCATCCTTTCGGGACAGGCTATCGTGTCCTTTCGTGACCACAGTCTTACCTTTCGCGGGCATACGCCATTTGCTCAAATCCTTTCGCAGGACCTTTCGTGAGAAGTTAAAATACACACATAAAACTTTACTTCGAGCGATCCCCACCATGACATTTCAATGTTGTGTGGTTGTGTGTTTTGCGTTGAGGTCCGGTAGTGCCCACTCGCGGTTGAGGTCCGGTAGCGCCCACTGCGATCCGGCACTTGCAGGAGGGGAAGGGGCAGAGGAGGAGAAGAGCCTCCTTCTGAGAAGAGATCTGATAAAACCCAACAACCCTCACCTCGCAGGTGGGGAACAACATGTTTATACCTCTACAGTCTACATATACATAAATCTATATTGCCTCCTCCTAGCAAATTTTCCTTTTCGCGTGGCAAGTAGAAAATGCAAATCGATGGGCTACATCTTGAACATGGAGCCGTCACCTTTCTCGAGCCTTTCGCGCGCCGTTCGCGGATTTTCGACCTTCGACTTCAAGAAACCCATGGTCAGAACATGGTTTCTTGGTTTCTGTTTATTGTAAGAATTCCTTGGCTGCTATGAGGCTGCTATCTGACTTGCCCACCATGGGCACTGGTGCAATACAGAAAAAACGGTTCAGTTTGGGGCTAGAAACGTCCTTGTACATATTTACACAAAGCTCTCATGGCGACAATGGCGAAGTTGCGTCAAATCAGCTAGCGCTGAAACAAATCTTACATAACGCGCCTTTTCGCATACTCCTTTCGCAACCAATTTTGCACGGTGTCTTTCGCAACAACTTTCTCGAAGCTTTCGCGAGACTTAGGTTTTAGCCTTTCGCGGGGGTTATGTTGGGACAACTGCATGCCAAAAAACTCTTCATGGAGGTTTTTGACGTGGCTCAGTAGCGAAGGCCTCCAACCTGATTGCGATGGCCTCCAACCTGACAGCGATGGCCTCCCACCTAAGCAGGATGATAGCCATGGCCATGGCCTCCAACCTAATAGCGATGGCCTCCAACCTAATAGCGATGGCCCGCAACCTATAATAGCGATGGCCTCCAACCTGATAGCGATGGCCTCCAACCTAATACCGATGGCCTCCAACCTGATAGCGACGGCCTCCAACCTAATAGCCCAATAGCGATGGCCTCCAACCTAGTAGCGATGGCCTCCAACCTAATAGTGATGGCCTCCAAACTACAGCGA